TAATTATGAATTTCATTGATACGATTGGTTAACAAACGTAAAAAACGCTGAGTAAAACATAAGCACCAAGATGTTTAATGGCGATGTTTATTAAACCGTCTGCAACTACCTTTGCTCAACTTGAGGGTGGTAAAAAATGAATTGTTGATCTTCTCACAGATTTTCAATATTTAAAAAATGCATTGAGGTTTACCAAACAAAAACAAATTTGTAGTGCATTCTTACGTCTTCCAACGCAGCCCACGTTCTATATAAGAGCAGACAAGAAAAAAGACAAAAGTGCTACAAAAATTACTGCAAAAGTTTTCATAAGACGCAATTAATAAATCTCACGTTGTTTCATGCCAATGCACCTGCTCTTTATAATGATTTTGTAAATCGCAATCCAGTAAGTGGTTCGTTAAAACCGTGCGTTACCGATGTCCGGTTTCCTTCCGAATGTTTGTTAAACCTTCCACGCTAGACACTTCCCTTCGAAAATAATTTCTGTAAGTCTCTGTTGCGTTTTCTGATAAGGCTATAAACTTAGACAGTCCGAAGTAGCTTTACTGTTTGTGTGCGACTTGTATGTATGGGAAGATGCAACAAAGACGGGCTTACTCTTTTTGTTTGAATTTGGTGCAGATGGGTCATATCTCTAATTAGAAAAAACTAATATTCGTAATTATTTTGGCTCCTTTCTCGGTTAGAACGTCGTATCATTATTTAACGTTGTATCGTTGGAATATTAGCGCTTTTACAGAGTCATTGTTTAAGAGCCTTCGAAACAGCCGTTAAGGGTCACATTCTGATGAGTGTTCTGTTTTCCGTCTCAAGTAAATACTAGCATAGCTAATGAGAAGCGACAAATACATCGTATTCACTTACGGAGCGAATGTTGTCACATTTACTGAAATGTAGGCATTTTTAATATTTTAAAAGTCAATCCAAATAGAGGTATCCAGGGCTATTGTTAGGTTTCCTTCCAAAAAATAGCCGATAAGGCTGATTTGGAAAGCTAGCAGTATGGCGCATTTACAGCTACCGCATCATTTTAATGGGGACGTTCAGGTTTAACAACATACTAACAAAAGGTAATATTGACCCTTTACATATTATGCAGGAGAACTAGTAAAATTCCCTTCTTATCGATCTCTCTTTCTCTCTCTCTTTCTCTCTCTCTCTCTCTCTCTCTCTCTCTATATATATATATATATATATATATGGCATCTAAATTGGAACATATTTTGGCGGGCTATTTACAGTCACGCGCATGCATTTATGTGCTGTTTCTGCTACCAAAGAAAGCCAAATCTTTCTACAATAAGACAACAAATTCGTCATGGCGAACAGCAATGCGTCATTTTAAGAATTTGAGCAAAGATTGGCTATCATTTAGTCCTTATGTACTTGACGAACTCCCACCGAGATTATAAACTTTTGTTCGCCTTAAATTGATAGTGAAGTGCTTCGAATGTAGGCGCGCGGTTGCGGAAAAAAAGCTAAGGCTGTCGCCCAAAAGTATACCTCTAATAATTATTCTGTTTTAATAAAGGCGTTAATGAAAAAATTGAGGACTTCAAAGATACGACATATACCATAACATAAAATCTAACAGGTGCTCTCTGAGAACAATAAAATCAAAAGATTTGACTAACGTTATTTGCTACTCAATTTTCACAAGAATGAAGCAACGGGTCGGCCTCAATTTTCCATGACAAAGGTTTGTTAATCTTTATATAAAAATAAACCGCAGAAGTAATTCCTATCTTGTTCACGAACCAGAAAATGTGCATATTATGGGTAGAATCAAATCTTCGGCTATAATGTCCACTGTACCACTCCCAGAAAGACAAATGCATTGCTAATACAGTTTATCTGCATATTCTACAAATTTTTGTGTAACCATGAATAATTGAAGTGCCCAAAGGCAGATCATACGTATTCCAACAGGATGATGCACCGGTCTATGCAAGCTGGCTGGTCCAGAATTGGCTGCTTGAAAATGTTTCGGAAAAAGTATATATGAATAGATCTGAATTGCTATGTACGGAAATCTAATAACTCTCGACATGACAACGTAGACTTGCATACTGGTGCCCTTACTAAGAAGGTGCTTGAGAGAATAGCAAAGGTGACATTTGAAAGGGGGTGTCAGCGGTTAGGATTGGAATTGAACCTGTAATTGCGGTAAAGGGCGGTTATATTGAATATCTATAATAATGAATAATATAGTCAGAAATAAGATTTTTATTACTTTGTTTATTAAATTATTATTAGAGTTTCATTATTTAAAAAAAAACTTTGTTGAGATGTCTATTTGTTATCTAGATACAGTCGTATAAAGGAAGCTAATTTATAGAAAAAGAGCTGTAGTGCATTCAATTCAGCCAAATTGCGGCATGAACCAAAAGCTAACCTTCTCGCTCAAAAAACCTCATCAATGGCATAATTATCTTAGGCTTGCGTAAAGATTTATTACATGGTTATTGCAAAGGATGTAGAATTTAGTTTCCTAATAAGGCTACTAGGGAGTTTTTTATGACGAGCTTAAACATGATTTCGCATTGTACTGAAATTAGGTTTTTTCGATTTGCTAAATGTTGAATTGACATGTAATGAAAACGTGAAAAGCCAGAGAAATTAGAAGAACCGGCCGCGGGAGGCTCTTTCGACGCATCTCAACGTTGCAACGGCGGTGACTCTTTCGACTACCCTTTAAAAAAGTTAGTCGAACGCCAGCGGCTTGCAAACGCCTCCCTTTAAACGTTTAGGAAGACTTGGTCATGAATCAGTTCTAAACTTATGTGATGGGCGATGAGAAGTTGTTGGTCAAATGTAAGACCCTGAAAAATCAATGGGTTTGCACCATGAACTATTCGCCTAAACGCTATCCAAATATGAGAGTTTGTTTGGTACGGTCATTATTGAAAACATACTATACCACTGTATTTATTTACTGAATACTGCTACCAGAACGAATTAGCAACGCCCTTTATGAGCTCATCTCTTTGATTTCCTCTAATCGTTATAGCTCGAACACTTTAGGGCTGCATGCACGATGTATCTTATAGGGCTTTGTTAATTTTCTTGTGACGTATCTGTACGCCATTTAAGTTCTATTTAATATCCACTAACAACAGTGTAGGACGAGAGTTCTTTTTGCATTGGCCACATGTACGTGATCGTACATTTCAACTGAGCGTGCCCTATAACAGCCTTCATTTTTTTTGTGATGGGAGCTGATTTGAGAATCGTCATTTGTGTCTTTGAAATATTATAAAGGGCTTCATTTATATTTAGTTATAAGAAGAGAGAAGACGACAAAGCCACCCATAAGCTGCGATTTACACTTTTTGAAAAATGTAACGAGTTAGTAGGCAAGAGGCAGGTTAAATACGATATTCGTTGTATGATCAAGATTCCTATCACGCTTAATGCCCGGATGAGTTTTGAAACGAAGCATATGAAGAAATCCGGCGCGCCAAAAAATGCTCTATCTATCTTTTCAGGCCTCATCCATTCAAGATAAAACCGCACGCGTCGTTGGCTTTTAAGTTCGCAACATCGTTTTTAATGTGGTGGCCAAATTTGTGCGTGCTAGTAAGAAATGTTTATTTTCCGTTCTTTTTTGACATTTCTTCCATCAGTGTCCTATTTTAGTTTACTAAATATTTTTGTGCAAATGAAAGAATTGTCCACATCAATTATCTAGTGTTGTTGGCGAGTGCAGAAGATATATTTCTATGCATAGCATTACTATTGGATAATCGCTTATTACATGGTGACCGAGAAAGTAAACTGAATCCGAAGCCGGCTTATTTGTGATCACCAAGCTGCAGTGACATGCTTTCGAAATACAGACAAGATAGCAGAGTGTTTAGATACATGTACGTTACATTAAAACCTTTAATCCGAAACGAGTGCAGTGTTTGAGTCAAAACAGCCTTAACGAATAATTTTGCCCCAGCATGAAAAGGGGGTTAGAGTATATTGTAGCCCGCATATTGTGCGGTTTCATTCACTATACATGGTACCCACAGAGCCGAAAGTTTATCATGGCAGAATATTGTTTTCCTAAATACTGTTGGTGGCATGAATGTTTCCGTGTACGGAATGTATCGCTTTGCTGCGTGCTTTACTGACAGACCACCATACGGACGACAAAATGTCACGATTCATTTCTGACTCGCAGGTAGTTTTGCACGAGAGATCATTAAGAAATAATTTTCTGTTTGCAAACATGAATGTCAGACAGATATAATAGCCATGTGTAAGATCTGAAGGATTATTTTCACACGAACCCATTAGTATTGTATGGGTTCACGGAACAACGACTCGTGTTTTTCAGACTTATCTTGTTACAAGTCACTACAGACAACTATTAAGTCACAAAATAAAAGCACTTCGTTTTCCTTACGTAGCAACGGTCGCATTGCCTGATTGGGTCCTCTATAACATAACACAACGCCGCTAACACTAGTAATAATAATGATAAAGCAACGAGAAATTTTCACATGTATTATTTCAACATATTTCCTTTGCTCATCATACGTGACGCTCATACAAGTTGTATCAATTTTATTATCTTCCGTCAAGGTGACACCCACCTCCTTTGAGAACACAAGCGCCATCCTACTGAAATTTCCGCTCCAGATGTTCGAATCACAATACGATAGAAAAGTTGATTCAATTTCCTCGATCAGGGATATTCAATTTGTGAACAAACAGCCACAGACATCCTGATTCTCGGCTAATATCTAAGTATAAGTAAATATCTCTCCGTTTAGAATTTACCCATAAGTTAATCTACTACAGACTGATCAACTGAGGTAATGGCTAGCAAATCTCTGCCCTATTGTGTCAGAAATAGTATCTTTTAATCGTTTCTAACGTTGGTATATCAAAGGTGCAGGTATAACGTTTATTAATTATAATATAATATAATAAAAAAAGTGCTTATTTTGCTAAGTGAACGCTTAGAGAATATACGGTTTGCGGATATTTCTGGGCTAACTCACCACTTTTAGGCGTGCCGGAAGCGCTCGACGTTCGAGCAGTATCAATTAGTGTTTGTCAGGCTAAAGGAAAGCATACGGTCATTTCTCCAGTCACAAATAACATGTAAATGAACGAACACGCAAATCATACTTGTGCTTCCGTTTAAAAGGTGATTACGAATTTGTACTATATTACTTTTTGACCAAATTGGCCACACTTACAAAATTAGTTGAAGTCACGTAACCCTGATCAACAGATCTTGCTGATATTCTTTGAACCGATATCTGCCATGGATCTGTTGGCCTTTGTTTGGCACTGCGTTCTCAGACATCCGATGATGACGGAGGTCCTATTTTGCTCAGTCTTCCGCCGTTTCTGTTTTCTTTGTTATCGCTTTGACGTGTTCCGGTGATTTCTGAGTCGGTTTTCACCTTCCTGTTTCTTGACAGCCAAGAAATCGGAACGTACAAAACGGTCCAAAGTAGCCGCCGCCAAACCGGCTTCCTTAACGTATCTCAACGCGTGTTGCTTGTGAGACACGTTACCGGTACCCTGTAAGTCACTTATGTGAGACGAATGTCATAAATTGAGCTAAATGTGTATTTTCCAGCTAATAAACCTGTGGTGTTTCCTTGGTATAAGGAACTTCGAGGACGGTTGGAGGTTCTGTCATTTAACAGTATTATTTTCCCGTGCAGAACAAACCACACATTTGAAAATCTTCATCTCCGCAATAATCCGCAGCTTCTTACTCGCATGGCTTCATCTACGTCGCGACAACTTTTTCACCAGTCAGAAGCACGCCAGGTCACTTCACTTTCGCTTCCTCTCAGTGCTTACTTCACTTGAGTCTGTTTTTTTCTGTGTCCGGATTTTCAGATGCGACGTTTCGTAAAACTGACGACTGTGGCTGCGGAGACGGCTGTAGCGTCAGGTTCCGCTCCGTTGAGCGTCGCGCGTTAACTTGGAGTTTTGTGTTTCGCTTGAAAGATTCTGACGAGGAGAAGAACTGTAGCGGTACTCCTGATGAAGGCTCAAACCCTAAGAGCGATAAAAGCAAAGGTAAAAGACGGGGGCTCTATCGATGGCGGAGACGCGGCGCAAATGAGCGAGGGCTATGGTCGTAATGGTGGTCGTGGGGCCGGGTCTGGGAAGAATAAACGGCAGAGACAGAAGCAAAGGATAAATATCTGTGTATGCTAATTGTATTAAAATCAAGTTTTAGTCTACGTCTATAAAAAAAAAACAGCAAAAAAGTGATGATGATGATGATGATTAATGCTTTTTTACTAAATAAAAAAGCGTCGCGAAATATTTCATGTGAACTCTACATTTTGAATAAAACTAACTGTGAAATTTATAGTGTCCAGTAAGGCTACTAAGTATATGGTAATATTCAGGATAAAATTTTATATACGCGTGTACAGTTTCGCTAAGAATATCTGGGGAAGATAAACACACAATTTATTGTCAAGATTAATCCGTGTGACTAAGGTAGAAAACAAAATAAAGGACCATGTTAATTAAAGATTGCATTCTGGGAAAGCAGTCCACGTTTTGATTCTCTTAAACAGTCGTTATTACCTGCTATTTAAAATAAGTTACAGTTAGTCATCTAATAATCAAGTTTATTAAGACGTTCGCTCTCACCAGAACAATTTACGGCTTTTCTGTATGGTTTCGAAACAAAACACCGAAAGCGATATCCTAGCATTCATTTCCAATGCTGCTAATATAAACACAATCAGAATTTATAAAGCGTGAAACAAAATGGTCTTTAGCTAAATGCAGACAACACAGGAGAGAATCTCCATTTGCTTAATGTGGAAAAGGATGATCCTATTAGGTGCGAGTTTGTTTAATAGGAACACCAAAACTACATCCGATCTAAAGTTTTTAATACTTTTAGTAACATATTTCCAGACGGTTTATGGGTTCCAGCATTACGTTTACAGGAACATGCGGGATGCTCGGAGTTCGAAACGAGAACAAATATACTATTGTGTTGCTGGAAAGAGCCAATTATCTGAAGGCATGCAAAGTGCGTGAAAAATGTTTAGTTTAACAAAATTGTTTCACAACAAATGAGCCAAACTAAATAAAGTTGTGGAAGAACCCGGAGTCAGTTAACCTCAAATACCAACATGCGGACATGAAAATTTTGAACATAAACTAACCCACACACGTATTCTAGTTAGGATGTAGTGCTTATAATTTATCATTGTGTACATTGTCATATTGGTCAAACACGGACAATCTGAAATCAGAGATATTGAAGTATGTTCGTAAGTACAATAGTTGCATTCATATCTTTCTGAGGATGCAAACGTTGCGCAGGGCGTGGATCTACAGAATCTGAGTTCGCACCATGCTACGCGACTTACGGCATATAGCACTCCCCTCAGTTCTGCTTAATAATTATCCTTATTTTACATTCAAATCTTGTATGCTTCAATTGCTTTCAAAACGTACATTCACTAAGCATGCCTTTAGGAGTGTTTCGAGGCGTCATCTTGTTGGAATCAGACCTTCGGATTTCGTGGCATCTAATTCTTTCTTACGTTGATGTGTAACGATATCAATCACTAACGCCGGCGGTAAGCTTTTCGATTTCTGATAAAAATAATTCTGTGTTAAACCTTTCCAGATAGCCCTAGACTTACGCGGCTGGATTTGTAGCGTATCAACGTATTCTGGTGATCCAAATACGCACTGAAATGGTTCGTTTTAGATTTGAAGGGCAAACATAGTAAAGATTCTGATGTTAAGTGAGACCACTTTAGTGGAGCTGTATGACATTCGTTCTTCACGTTTAAGCTTATTCTATATTCTTGATACCAATTATTACTGGTTTTATGTGTGCAAATACTTCCACTGTTAAATTTTGCAAATTCGAAACTTTGCATAGGGTATCCGCACACATGGACGCGCATATCCTTGGTGGCGTCGTCAGTGAAATAAGACCCCACAAACTAGTTGTATGGACTGAATTGCTTTCAATGTACAGAATGCCAGTCTTCCATTCGGATCTTTTACTGCTCACCAGTGCGTTCGCAAGTACGTTCACACGAAGTTCTTAGTACCGGCTTATTCTGAAGCGCGACCCTAGCGGAAAACAGTCTCGTCATCTGAATTTGAGCGAAGATCAGCTCCTATTGTACCTTTACTCTCAAAATAAACCGTTAGCAAAGTTAAATCTTTTTTACCCTAAATCAACGGTCTAGATTATCGCCAGTTTGCATGATCCGAGAAGTTCGAGGAAGATTTAGATAAAAGGTTTGAATATTTGCTAAGATTAAGGCGCAAAAGGCCATGTTTGATTATCCTTGATATCCGATACAGAAGCACAGCATTCAGTTTTGAAGGAAGAGTATCTAATAGGTGTTTCGACCTCCACGTCCAGAACTGAGGCTAAATATTGTCTCAGACAAGGCAGAGTATCTGTCTACAATTAAGTCGTTCAAATAGGCTCCAACTTTTTTTTACGCATTTTTTAGACTTCTTCATTATTTTGAGGTCTTATATTTTTTAAAGTTTGGCCCTTTATCAGCCCAAAATTTAATTCTGCTATAATTTTTTATTTGAAAGGTACTTCAACGAATTTACTTTCACAAATACCGCTTGACGTTCGGTTATTATTAAGAAGTCATTTGCGGATTGAGAAGAGGAATATTTTTTAATTAACCAGTGAGCGGTTTGGGTCCCGAATCGTAGCTGTTATCAAAATGAGTGGAGGCTACATTGAATAACAGGACCAGTCAGGATGGCACTTTATATATATATATATATAATTGCCAATTTGATATCAACAGAAGATTCATGCACGGAATTTTGTTATTAATAGTAGTAGTAATTGCGCCACTATTGCTTTGGATGAGGATTTGTTTCATTGAACAAAATCCAATTGCAATTGTTGCTTTCTTAATACCGAAAAATCACGTTTCAGTTTGACAGATCCAACGTCTTTAAATGCAGTATTTGAACAAGGGTTGCCCTCATTACATTCATTTTGCCGCATATACAACCACACATGCTGAAACGGCGAAGTTAATTTCCTGTGCCTTCTTCTGCTAAAACCTCTGTCAATTGTTGGTTTGACTGACGGTCGGCAAGAAACGGGCAATAACGTCTATGTACTTCAACAGCGATTCGGACGACAGGAACTCAGCTGCAGCGTTGGAAAAAATAAATAGACCATTACGGACAGATCTACCAGCAACGAATGTACCTGAAAAGGCTACATATTAACATAAACCTAAAGGATATTGAAAGCGAAAAAAGAAACGCAACACAAGTCTCCACTTGCTACTATCACTAAACGTTTCGCGTTGCAAAGACAAGTCGAATGACGGTCGTTTATAAAAGAATTACAGGATTTGTTACTCGTTTCTTCTCAAATGTTTGTGATCTGCAAATTAAATACTACTTTTCGGAGCGCTCAAAGCTCCTAAAAGCGCTACTCGTGTGGTGAAGATCAATTTAAATAGGTTGTCCGTAGATAACGTAAAAAACGTAAAAGCCTTAGCTGAGAATTCAGACAGAGTCTTATAGTGGTCAACTCTACGTCTTTTCTGACCCGTTCACGGCGATACTTAGCTTATGGGTTAGACCAGTAAGTATACTAAGCAAAAAGTATAAGCAGTGGAAAATTATAGCAGCCGTCATTATTGAAGCCAATAGTTAATTAGTGGTGCAGTTCTCTCTTTTTGTTATTATCTCCAATTAAGAGGTGACTAATACGGTGGGAACGGCTTAGTCGATGAATTGAGAATGGGGACTCAATCCCGATTAAATGACAGCCATTGTTTTTGACTGGCCCATTTCATTGTTATTGATGAAAACAAACTAATTGCCATATTATTTGTTCGGCTGCATCGCCGAAGATTTATAGTTTGATCTTAAAATTTATAGCTGTAGTCAGTTTTTCCGCATTTTTGTACCCAGTAGCAAAATATTCTCATATATATATATATATAGAACCATGCAAATTAATGTCAACTTTACAATCTACGTCCATTAATTTATAAATGTTTAAGATTCTAAACGCGCGGAAACGCTTTAAATCAGAATGAATTTCGAAAATTTCTAACCCAACGAGTACGCATTGGAACATCCCGTTGAAAGTTTTTTCGAGCGCATCGAGA